ATTTGAGAATGGAGAGCCAGATAAATGCGGTTGTAAAATCTGGATTTTTCTATTTAAGGCAGTTAGTGAAATTAAAACCCTTTTTGTCGTGGCAGCATTTGGAGACAGTGATCCATGCGTTTGTTACATCACGCATGGATTACTGTAATGCCCTGTATGCTGGACTTGGTCAATCCGGGATTGCCCACCTCCAGAGGATCCAGAATCCTGCCGCTCGGTTATTGGTTGGGGGGCGTAAGAAGGACCACATAACGCCAGTACTGGCATCTCTCCACTGGCTTCTGGTGCATTACAGGGTTAATTTTAAGATTCTTTTATTTGTTTATAAATCCTTAAATGGGCTGGCACCATCTTATCTTGTGGAACTTTTGCGTCCATATAATTCGTCGCGGTGCCTCAGATCAGCAGATCAGCTTCTTCTGGAGGCGCCGAGGGCCAGGCGGAAAACTAGGGGGGATAGAGCCTTTGCTGTGGTAGGTCTAAAACTGTGGAATGCCTTGCCGCTTTATATTAGGCAGGCCCCCTCCCTGTCTACTTTTAAGTCTTATTTGAAGACCCACTTGTATTCATTGGCGTTTGGCCAGGAATGAGACTCTGTCTGTAGTGTTAGTGTCTATATTATTGTTTATAGCTTTTTATGTGTTGTTTTTATTTTTGAATGATATGTTAAGTGCTTTGGTCAGCTGTGCTGTGGTAAAGTGCTATATAAATAAAGTTGAGTTGAGTTGAGAATGTACCTGTATCTTTCATCTCTTTTGCTTTTTCAAGTTTTGAATCCAACCTTTCAGTGAAGAACTGCCTCTTGCTTTTGTGTTTCATCCTTACATTCAGTAATCAAGAGGCAGTGTTGTGGAAACTACTAAAATATGCAGGCTATCAATTACTTCACATCAGAACAAGTTAAACTACAGCAAAGCTACTCTAGCAAAAGTATATTTGGTAAACTAATGTTACTTTGGAAAAACAGTTCAAAGTTTTTTATAAAAAAACAAAATCTGACAATGCACATGTGAAACAAAACTATCACATAAAAGAAAACTCAAGAAAAGAAAAATGCCACTCAGTTGAGTTTATATTCCTGAGACAAGAAACTTGAGGAGTGGGGTAAAATTCCCTCAGACTGATGTCAGAGACTGGTAGATGGCTACAAGAACCGTCTCACTGCAGTTATTTCAGCCAAAGGAGGTAACACTAGCTATTAGGGGCTAGGGTGTGCTATCTTTTTCCTCAGAATAGGCATTTTTGTAGAATTACATTTGTTACATTTATCGGTTATTGTCATTAAACTTTCACAAGTTTTGTAAATGTCGGACCGCATCGCGCTGTTATGCTCGTCCTGTTTACCATTGAAAACCTTGATGTCATCAACTTCCTTCTGTGTAAACTTTAGACTTGTTTTTTATGTCCTGCATTTCTCTAGCCAGAGAATCCAGTCTGAGATTAGTTGAGTCCATAATGACTTTGACGAAACTCTTGAAATTATCCTGTTGCTGATTCAGCAACGCTGTGTACATTTCCTTTTGCTGCTGCAGTAACTCCATTACCTGCGCTAGTGAAACATATTCCTCATCAGCTTTTGGTTCTCATCTTGCCGTCTTTGGTGGCATTGTTGCAAAAAATGCCACCAAGCTTCTACCGTCACACAAATCAATACGGAATTATTCCCCCTTTCTTGGTGTAAATACGAAAAAAAAAAACAGCGTAACGGTTACCATCAACAAACACGTCGGCCTCAACAACGAGCACTTCCAGTTGACTTTTCCCGCTCTCTCTAAACAAGATCGCCTTCTCACCCAATCAATCAAGTGCCCTACATATTTTTTTCACCCCAGCCCTAACAGCCTGAATTCACCACCGATTTCAGTTAATCCCTGTTTGAGCTCAAATCACAAAGTTGTAGGTTTTTAAATGTCATTTATTAGTGGACATGAAAAGGTTCAAGGGACACAGCAGAAGGTGTGGACAAAAGACTGCAACATCCAAGTAACTGATACAAACAGGAATTCATCACCATAGAAATGTCATGGATTACATTATGTACAAACTAGTCACAAAGAAAGATTCTAACAATGTTTACAAAGGTATAGAAAAATCATGGTGATGGTTAATAATGGCAGAGACAGAAAAACAACATCATTAGTCTTGACTGGCTGGACACACAAACTGTACAAGCTGGAAGCTAGCTCCCATAAAAACAGTACTAATAGATTATCAGGATAGAGTTCACTACGATTCAACAAAAAAAGCCAAATACCGCAGTGGTAAGAGTGATAGTATAATGATTAGTTGAAAAATAACAATTTTGAGGCTCCATTAATTGTTTATATTTCAAGACATTTGCTGGTTCCAGCTTCACATTTATGAACATTTTTTGATTTCCTGTCTGAGTATCTTTTGGTTTTGGACTGTTAGTCATACATAAAAAAATATTTGGAGACATCAACTTGGATGCTGGTAAAATAATTGGCAGATCAATTAATAATCAAAATAATTTTTTGTTGCAGCCCTTGTTAAGTGTTCTGCTTTTTCTGACTTAAAGAAATGTCATGTTGACTGAAGGCAGATGTTGTTACTTAGGGGGCCCAAACATTTAGTATGAACTCTGTCTGAAGATCAGTCATCCATGTTTTGTGGCACCCTCTAGTGTTAATCTCAAATGATGCGACACAGGTGAAAGATTGTTTTTCAGCCCTCACCATGACTCTCTTACTTATCTTGCACAATGGCTTGAGGTTAAGTCCTACTGATTGATTCACAAGTGTTCATAAGTGGTTTTAGAAAAAAAGTTTCCTCCAAGCTCCCAGATTCAAAACTCACTTTGAGGGAGTTATATTTGGGGGCTATCAAATCCTCCCTGAAGTCATAAAAAGGCTACAGTCTGCTATCATATTTGTATCTCTATTTTATCTGCGTCTGTGTGCTAGGGCCTTTTGATGAATATACTGTATGGACAGGTGAGTCATGTAGGTGTTTGACAGAACAAAACCAAACAAACTACTTAATGCTGAGTGTTCCAAGCTGCTGCTGATCTGGTTCATTGCTGCCTATAAAGCACAAATGTTATGACTGTTATTAAGAAGTGCAGAAAACTGGGAGTGGTGAACTTTATATTAAGCAAATAAACCACATAAAAATATGAAATAGTGCGCAGTCATAAGAAGACATAAGAAGCCTGGGCTCGGGGGAAGGACCTGTACTAGTCATCCCCATAAGTAGTGTCAGGGGGACGTACAGTGGTGTGAAAAAGTGTTTGCCCCCTTACTGATTTCTTATCTTTTTGCATGTTTGTCACACTGTAATGTTTCAGATCGTCAAACAAATTTATATATTAGTCAAAGATAACACAAGTAAACACATCATGCAGGTTTTAAATGAAGGTTTTTATTATTAAGGGAAAACAAAATCCAAAACTATAGATCCCTGTGTGAACAAGTGTTTGCCCCCCTGTCAAAACACTGGTTTATCGCACCTGAGTTCAATTTCTCTTTGAGCTCTATCAGTTTGGAAAAGGTTATAAAGCCATTTCTAAAGCTTTGGGACTGCAGCGAACCACAGTGAGAGCCATTATCCACAAATGGCGAAAACATGGAACAGTGGAGAACCTTCCCAGGAGTGGCCGGCCGACCAAAATTACCCCAAGAGCGCAGCGACAACTCATCCAAGAGGTCACAAAAGACCCCACAACAACATCCAAAGAACTGCAGGCCTCACTTGCCTCAGTTAAGGTGAGTGTTCATGACTCCACCATAAGAAAGAGACTGGGCAAAAATGGTTTGCATGGCAGAGTTCCAAGACGAAAACCACTGCTGAGCAAAAAGAACATAAAGGCTCGTCTCAGTTTTGCCAGAAAACATCTTGATGATCCCCAAGACTTTTGGGATAATACTCTGTGGACAGACGAGACAAAAGTTGAACTTTTTGGAAGGTGTGTGTCCCATTATGTGTGGCGTAAAAGTAACACCGCATTTCAGAAAAAGAACATCATACCAACAGTAAAATATGGTGGTGGTAGTGTGATGGTCTGGGGCTGTTTTGCTGCTTCAGGCCCTGGAAGACATGCTGTGATAAGTGGAACCATGAATTCTGCTGTGTACCAAAATATCCTGAAGGAGAATGTCCGGCCATCTGTTTGTGGCCTCAAGCTGAAGCGAACTTGGGTTCTGCAGCAGGACAATGATCCAAAGCACACCAGCAAGTCCACTTCTGAATGGCTGAAGAAAAACAAAATGAAGACTTTGGAGTGGCCTAGTCAAAGTCCTGACCTGAATCCAATTGAGATGCTGTGGCATGACCTTAAAAAGGCGGTTCATGCCCGAAAACCCTCCAATGTGGCTGACTTACAACCATTCTGCCAAGATGAGTGGGCCAAAATTCCTCCACAGCGCTGTGGAAGACTCATGGCAAGTTATCGAAAACGCTTGATTGCAGTTGTTGCTGCTAAGGGTGGCCCAACCAGTTATTAGGTTTAGGGGGCAAACACTTGTTCACACAGGGCTCTATAGTTTTGGATTTTGTTTTCCCTTAATAATAAAAACCTTCATTTAAAACCTGCATGATGTGTTTACTTGTGTTATCTTTGACTAATATATAAATTTGTTTGACGATCTGAAACATTACAGTGTGACAAACATGCAAAAAGATAAGAAATCAGTAAGGGGGCAAACACTTTTTCACACCACTGTATACTGATCGTGTGTGATGGCTGTTTGCATACAACTTTATTTCTGATGAGCTGATTTATGTCAACTCTAGCTCTGTGTAGGTGGGCAATTCAAAGTGCACTCTGTTCAATTTAGTAGGATAGTGACACACAACTAGTCATCTTACAAATTCTTCTCCTGGAAACAACATTCACAGGTGCATTCTCATAAAGATGCAAAATGCTACCAGCTGCAGTCCATATGTAGTTCTTTTTCTCAATTTGGCACACACACATCCCTGTGCAAACCTCTCTGAACCTTTTAGCATTTTTATATACTTAATACTTATAGAGTGTGGGGACAATACCACATTTTGGGAAGGTGTTAACAAGTGGTCTGGTGAGCTTTTTCCTCCCAACAACTAAGATTCAGCTGTAAATGAAGTCACGCTTATCCTGAGTCTGAATCCATGCCAGAACAAAGTCTGGCGTCAGGAGAAGCAGATAGAAATGTGGGGACAGCAGGCTGCAGGAAGTCACTCAGACAGGTCCAACCTCGGGTCTGATCCCCACTACAGGAAAATAAGGACAAAGTGCAGCTGCTTTCATTCTCCTTTGAACTCTTCTGGGGTAATGGATGAAATGACATCGTAGCTCTCACTGGGGGTGCTGGTAGAGCTGAGAATGTGATGCTCAGGAAACGGTTGAAGGAGAATCTAGAAGAGAATAGAACATTATTTAAGTGATCTGTACTTTTAAGTTGTTGACAGGTTGGTGGTTGCTTTTCTCTGTTTGTATTGATCTTGTTCATTTCATCAACAAGGCTCCAACTCCACCATTTTCTTTTAACTTCCTTCGTCTACACAGGAAATGGGAATGTGTTGTGTACACTGACATCTGCTGCTTGTGGTCATTTTATGCTTATATTGTAGCAAATACGTGAGCAGCTTTGCAATCTCACAAACAACATGAAGAAATGCCAGGGCTGGAAGAACATGAAGAATTTTACTCTGCAGAAGTCTGAAAAACATCCACTGATTATTGGATCTGTTATCCCACCCCATAGCATCATATTACTGTTATAGTCATCATGGTGATCAGAATGTGTGGTTATTTGTCTTATATCATGTCTTTACAATTTGGCTGGATAAAAGTATCGATTTTCCAATTATGTGATTCTTGTTTTAACAATTCAATATAGATTCTTGTAATTGCAGTGGTTAGCACTGCCGCATCACAGCAAGAATGCTCCAGGTTCGAGCTGCGGTTGACCTGGTGCCCGCTGGTGTATCCCAACATTGGCTGCCTTCATCCTTAAGCTGCAAACAGAGAAATTACTCTCCTATGTAACTTTCTGTCTGATACACAGTGTATATACAGTGTGACCTTATGCATGTATGGTGCTCACATCTGAGATTTCATATGGAGGTCGCAGGCAGTGTTTGATTCTCCCACTTTGGTAGATGAGGACATATGCAATCACAAGTATCAGAATCAACAGGAAGATGGGAACCACCACAGCTACAGTTAATTGTGTTTGTTTTTGGTTGTTTCCTGGAAGATATAAAAAGGACACACACAAAGAGAGAGAGTAAGAAACTATCCATTACAACTCTTATCATGTTCTGACTTCAGAGAATTTATGAGTTCTAAAACTTTAAAGTCCCCATGGCTGCTCATGTTGATCATTTCCAGCCATGTAATGTTTCATCTTGGGTACCTCTAGATTATCTTGACACCCACCATAATGCCAAATAGTCTGTAATTATTTCAGAATGATGAAACCAGAGAGCCTCTTCCTAAAAACAGGACGATACTTCGTGAACGTGCACAACTCCTGTTGCCAGTGTTGTGACGCAAGTGGACAGCACAAGAAAATGCCATGGTGTTAATATGAATTTCTCCCCCATAGATAGATAAACAACGGTATATGTACCGATGAAAAGAGATGTGTAACACTAAACAGAGCATGTAATTGAGAAAACCCATATTTTAACTGGCATAATGCACACATAGTAACTTCTCCAGCCACGTGTGTTTTTTTTTTTTATTTACCATTAAGTCCCACCGAGTAGTGGAAACATCGCTCCCTTTCAAGTAGCTCCAAGGTCAGTAAATCCAACTGGTGGTCAATGCGTCTTCCCCCACACTACCACATACAGTCCCAAAGTAGTGAAATTAATTCCAACAGGTAACGTAGCACCGACAATAACATCATGGGTTGTTAATCCGCTGGTTAACCAGCAACACATCAACTGCTGTAAACACACTGGCCTCAAGCAGTCAGAACAAACAGGTACTGTGCTCTGGGGGAATCCAGCATTGATCAGCTTATCATTAACTACCGTGGGGGCTTCACTGGCGGCTGCTTGTACGTTAGACCCTGTCAGGTAAAACAGTGAGTCCCTGTACAGTAACATTCCTGGACATGCAGTAACCTCAGGCCCTGTATTTTCTCCACATCCTCTGGTCATGGTGCAGCAGCAGGAGGGAAAATGTATCCACAAAACCAGGTGCAGTCGAAAAATTCTGCTTTAATGACCCGTGTCGTCGCTAAACCTGTTGGAATTAATTTCACTACTTTGGTACTGCACCAGTGGATGCATTCAAATACTAGAACATACTTGCACCTCATTTTTTGAACTTTAGGTCACGTCTAAGATGATAATTTATCGTTGTAACATTGTAGATAAGTAAAAAAACAAAACAAGGAAAAGCGCCACAGGCTCTTTAATGCTTCCAGTTGATTCAACTTAATGAAAAAATGTCAATACATCTCTTTAAACAGATTGAACCAACAATGAGATTACACACTTTCAGTGGTGTATGGATTTTTAAAAAAGGACTGTACCATCGTATAGGAATACTCCACTAAGAAAATCCAAACAATCCTCACTTCACAAAGTGTAAATATGCAGGAGTGCATTTATCTCTGTTTTGGGCAATTGATCATATCTGGAACTAAATATACAAATGGATGAGAGATGTTTTTAAGAATGTGTGGATGCTTTTGGTAAATGGTCTTATACTTGTATAGCGCTTTTCTACACTTTTACAGCACACTCAGCACATGTAGGCCTGACAGTGCTGGGATCAGAGAGACAGAGCTCCCGCAGGAGATCCATTCTCTGAGCCCCGAATTAAGTTCTTACAATACATTTTATCTTCTTGGGCTGCTCCACCCTGGACAGCGGTGCAACCTTCAATAGCTCGTGATCCTATTAATCATTTGGTGTGAGTAGGTCAACCCCCGCCTGCGCTTGCTTGCTGACATGTGATCTAGACCAGGTGTGTGTGTGTGCAGGTTAGGGTTAAAATGTAAATAGGCTGTCTGGTTTCTATCACTTGATTCTCATCAATACAATTGTAAGATATATAAGCAAGGAAAACAAATGCATTAAAAATAACCAAAGCTCAGTAGTTCTGGACAATCATCAATACAGCTGTAATATGTATAAACAAGGAAAATAAAGTTATGAAAGGGAACTAAAGGTATGAGAAGTAACTAAAACTTATAAAGTAACTAGAGTCTATAAGACTCAAATCTTAAAGTCTTTTAACCATTAAACAGCTTTTCTGTCCACACCACAACTCTGACATCTAGCTCTCAAGAAGACAAGGAATAAAAATAAAAACTTGTGGTAGACCTTGGAATATTGGGAAATCTAAAAATAAATAAATTTTAAAAAACAAACAAAAAAGCAACACAAACATTGTTTTTCAAATTTTACAAAAACATTTGTCCGACTATGACAGACTTTCCCCAACAGCAACAGCACCTGTTAGCACAGTCTTACTTGACTCAGGGATGACCTCACACTGGGTACAGCTTTCTGCTCCAACTGGGATATTGTAGTTGATGTACTGGACCTTTATACAGTAATGCTGTCCCTCCTCCAGCCCATGGATAGACACTGAGGAGGCCCCATCTATATGATTCTGCCGAAGATAACATTAACACATATTACAACCAGTCAATAACTGCTATTCTCTTAACTAGTGCCATTTACCATTATGACATTCTGCATTCAGCATTGGCTAAACAAAGTACTGATCAAACGATAAAGACTCAAGACATCCTGAAATTCTAAAGGGAAATTCTTGTTCCAAATAGGCCAGAGAACATTGTATACAAGTAATGTATTATCTAAGCCAGATAAATTTGAAAAAGCATCTTTTCCCCTCACTTTTGGCCTTGCGCCCACACTAAGCTGGGAGGTGTGACTGATTTACAATGTCAACTCAAACAATGCGTGCTCCGATGCAGAATTGACACCTGCAAGTGTGTGTGATTTGTCCAGTCACATGACATAGATTGTTCACAGTAACATAGTTATGTTGAATACAAACTGACAGAACGAACCTCAGATAATCCAGACTGACAAACTCAAGTGTAGCCTCCAGGAGGGGCCGTGGAGAGAAACATCAGGTGCAACAATAAGCAGCAGAAATAGACTTTTTACATTTAACTGAAGTGATTTGATTTACACAGACTGTTTTACCTGTGTCCCTGCCAGTGATCAGCTGTAGGTCTATATGACACAAGCAGGGCACAGGCACATATGGCTTTAACAGTCACCCTGGGACAAATGGCTACTAATTCATATTGTTATTGTGCCACACCAGAGAATAACATTAGTCTAACATTGGTGGAAAGCAATGGTGGAAACAGTAACGGCAGCATGAAGCTTCTGATGTCATTAAACATCAACTGGGGTCAGGTGTTAGCAAACCTGGAGTCCAATCAATGAAATGAGAAGGAAGGTTATTGCTGCCAAAGGTGTTTCAACCAGTTATTAAAACACCGTTACTATTACTTTTTACACCATCACGGTGGAAAGCAGTCTAAATATAAATGAGGTCTTACAGATATTTCTAAAGCTGATGTACTTGACATCTGTGAGAGTTGTGGAATGGATAAGCTTACTTTTTTTCTCTCATAGTTGTGATTTGTAAAGAAGCTCATGAAGTCATTGCTGCTGAGATCTAAGGGAATGTTAAGCTCAACGGCACTGTGGCTCTTTGTCAGCCTGGCTACAGTGCTGAAAAGAAACCTGGGGTTGTTCTTATTTTCTTCTATCAGTGATGAATAATATGTAGTTCTGGCACTACGAAGGGCTTTTTATACATTATTAAACTATCTTTCCAGGATAAGAAAAACTCTTCTGACTTAGATAGATACTTTATTACAGACTCAAGGTCCAGATGCATAAATACTAAAAAAAACAAAAACAATAAAAACCATAAAACAGTCAGCAATAAATAATAAAAAAACAACAACCACCAATAAACAACTACCTTTTTGAAAGGCAGGTATACCAGTGTTTCCAAAGTACTGAAGTATATCGCATATCACTATAAGAACTACAGAACTATTCAAACGACAAATAAATTTGTACATCAAATTTCTTAAAACAGCAGATAATGTACTGATCGGAGATGCCACAAACAATTCACTGGCACTCATCCATCCAGGCCATTTCAATAATAGCCTCAAGGCGTCATTATATGCCACTGTCAGTTTCCTAAGACTGCCTTTTTTGTAATTAGACCATAGATGTGCAGTGTATAGGGAGGTACAATACGCTCTAAACAAAGTCAATTTTACTCCTTCCGAACACAAGCCAAATTTCTGAACCAACACATTTGCTTGTGCATACAACATGTACCAGCACTGCCGGTACATATCCCCATCATCAGACAAGCAATCATTTATAACATGACCCAAGTACTTAATGTCAGGTCCGCTTGGCGCGACCTGCCTCTCTTCTGCTTTTCTCTCCCCTGCTCACTCCTTTTGCAGGATCAGCACCTCAGCTGTGTCGCATTTTGTAATCAGTGACTTGTGGGTTTTCGCGCACAGCTGGGGCGCATCACTGTAATCACCCTCCTACCTTATTTATACCTCTGGCAGATGCTCCGCCTTCGCCAGAGCATTACCTACTGTAACGTGCATACCCCATTGACAGACCTTTGTTTGTGGTATGTATTGTACGTCATTTTGTTTTCATTTGCCAGCCCTGGTTGTACGTGTTCCTCGACTCTGTTCCCTTTTTTGTGTTTCTCACCATTAAAACCACCTTTGTTACTAGCACCTGGGTCAGCAATCTTGAGTCCTGCCTCAGTTCTTCCTCACCCTCCTGGTGAGGGGGACTAAATCATAACACTTAACTTCATTACACACAGTTAAAATGTTACCAGATAACTTAAAAAAGGGAATGCAAGGGACCTGTCCTCTTTTGAGCGGCATATAATAACACTTTATCAGAATTGTACTTGACATCGTGAAGCTCCCCAAACAGAGAACACACATTCAAGAGCTGCTGGAGACCTGCCGAGCTGGGACTAAAGATCACCAGATCATCTGTATACATTATGTGATTCACTATTGTACCACCAACCATACATCCCGTTCTACACATATTTAGCTCCTCAGAGAGACCATTCATATAAAAATTAAACAAATTCAGGGACAACAGACTATCCTGCCTTACCCCATTACAGGTCTGGAAGGGTGCAGATATACAATTACCCCATCTGACACGCATAGTTTGGTGGGCATACCAATATGACAAGCATCTCACTATATATTTAGGATATATAAGCTTTAGCTGTACTTTAGTATTTTGTCAGCATTGTACAGTAGCTGAATAAACCTTTGTGAAGTTAGGCCTACATTGCACTACCTGCAGTAATTTTTACAGTGCCTTGCGAAAGTATTCGGCCCCCTTGAACTTTGCGACCTTTTGCCACATTTCAGGCTTCAAACATAAAGATATAAAACTGTAATTTTTTGTGAAGAATCAACAACAAGTGGGACACAATCATGAAGTGGAACGAAATTTATTGGATATTTCAAACTTTTTTAACAAATAAAAAACTGAATAATTGGGCGTGCAAAATTATTCAGCCCCTTTACTTTCAGTGCAGCAAACTCTCTCCAGAAGTTCAGTGAGGATCTCTGAATGATCCAATGTTGACCTAAATGACTAATGATGATAAATAGAATCCACCTGTGTGTAATCAAGTCTCCGTATAAATGCACCTGCACTGTGATAGTCTCAGAGGTCTGTTTAAAGCGCAGAGAGCATCATGAAGAACAAGGAACACACCAGGCAGGTCCGAGATACTGTTGTGGAGAAGTTTAAAGCCGGATTTGGATACAAAAAGATTTCCCAAGCTTTAAACATCCCAAGGAGCACTGTGCAAGCGATAATATTGAAATGGAAGGAGTATCAGACCACTGCAAATCTACCAAGACCTGGCCGTCCCTCTAAACTTTCAGCTCATACAAGGAGAAGACTGATCAGAGATGCAGCCAAGAGGCCCATGATCACTCTGGATGAACTGCAGAGATCTACAGCTGAGGTGGGAGACTCTGTCCATAGGACAACAATCAGTCGTATACTGCACAAATCTGGCCTTTATGGAAGAGTGGCAAGAAGAAAGCCATTTCTTAAAGATATCCATAAAAAGTGTCGTTTAAAGTTTGCCACAAGCCACCTGGGAGACACACCAAACATGTGGAAGAAGGTGCTCTGGTCAGATGAAACCAAAATCGAACTTTTTGGCAACAATGCAAAATGTTATGTTTGGCGTAAAAGCAACACAGCTCATCACCCTGAACACACCATCCCCATTGTCAAACATGGTGGTGGCAGCATCGTGGTTTGGGCCTGCTTTTCTTCAGCAGGGACAGGGGAGATGGTTAAAATTGATGGGAAGATGGATGGAGCCAAATACAGGACCATTCTGGAAGGAAACCTGATGGAGTCTGCAACAGACCTGAGACTGGGACGGAGATTTGTCTTCCAACAAGACAATGATCCAAAACATAAAGCAAAATCTACAATGGAATGGTTCACAAATAAACATATCCAGGTGTTAGAATGGTCAAGTCAAAGTCCAGACCTGAATCCAATCGAGAATCTGTGGAACGAACTGAAAACTGCTGTTCACAAACGCTCTCCATCCAATCTCACTGAGCTCGAGCTGTTTTGCACGGAGGAATGGGCAAAAATTTCAGTCTCTTGATGTGCAAAACTGATAGAGACATACCCCAAGCGACTTACAGCTGTAATCGCAGCAAAAGGTGGCGCTACAAAGTATTAACTTAAGGGGGCTGAATAATTTTGCATGCCCAATTTTTCAGTTTTTTATTTGTTAAAAAAGTTTGAAATATCCAATAAATTTCGTTCCACTTCATGATTGTGTCCCACTTGTTGTTGATTCTTCACAAAAAATTACAGTTTTATATCTTTATGTTTGAAGCCTGAAATGTGGCAAAAGGTCGCAAAGTTCAAGGGGGCCGAATACTTTCGCAAGGCACTGTACAGTGGGTACGGAAAGTATTCAGACCCCCTTAATTTTTCACTCTTTGTTATATTGCAGCCATATGCTACAATCATTTAAGTTCATTTTTTTCCTCATTAATGTACACACAGCACCCCATATTGACAGAAAAACACAGAATTTTTGACATTTTTGCAGATTTATTAAAAAAGAAAAACTGAAATATCACATGGTCATAAGTATTCAGACCCTTTGCTCAGTATTTAGTAGAAGCACCCTTTTGAGCTAATACAGCCATGAGTCTTTTTGGGAATGATGCAACAAGTTTTTCACACCTGCATTTGGGGATCCTCTGCCATTCCTCCTTGCAGATCCTCTCCAGTTCTGTCAGGTTGGATGGTAAACGTTGGTGGACAGCCATTTTCAGGTCTCTCCAGAGATGCTCAATTGGGTTTAAGTCAGGGCTCTGGCTGGGCCATTCAAGAACAGTCACAGAGTTGTTGTGAAGCCACTCCTTCGTTATTTTAGCTGTGTGCTTAGGGTCATTGTCTTGTTTGAAGGTGAACCTTCGGCCCAGTCTGAGGTCCTGAGCACTCTGGAGAAGGTTTTCGTCCAGGATATCCCTGTACTTGGCCGCATTCATCCTTCCCTCGATTGCAACCAGTCGTCCTGTCCCTGCAGCTGAAAAACACCCCCATAGCATGATGCTGCCACCACCATGCTTCACTGTTGGGACTGTATTGGACAGGTGATGAGCAGTGCCTGGTTTTCTCCACACATACCACTTAGAATTAAGGCCAAAAATTTCTATCTTGGTCTCATCAGACCAGAGAATCTTATTTCTCACCATCTTGGAGTCCTTCAGGTGTTTTTTAGCAAACTGCATGCGGGCTTTCATGTGTCTTGCACTGAGGAGAGGCTTCCGTTGGGCCACTCTGCCCTAAAGCCCCGACTGGTGGAGGGCTGCAGTGATGGTTGACTTTCTTTGACTTTCTACAACTTTCTCCCATCTCCCGACTGCATCTCTGGAGCTCAGCCACAGTCATCTTTGGGTTCTTCTGTACCTCTCTCACCAAGGCTCTTCTCCCCCGATAGCTCAGTTTGGCCAGACGGCCAGCTCTAGGAAAGGTTCTGGTCGTCCCAAACGTCTTCCATTTAAGGATTATGGAGGCCCCTGTGCTCTTAGGAACCTTAAGTGCAGCAGACATTTTTTTTGTAACCTTGGCCAGATCTGTGCTTTGCCACAATTCTGTCTCTGAGCTCTTCAGGCAGTTCCTTTGACTTCATGATTCTCATTTGCTCTGACATGCACTGTGAGCTGTAGGGTCTTATATAGACAGGTGTGTGGCTTTTCCTAATCACGTCCAATCAGTATAATCAAACACAGCTGGACTCAAATGAAGGTGTAGAACCATCTCTGGGATGATCAGAAGAAATGGACAGCACCTAAGTTAAATATATGAGTGTCACAGCAAAGGGTCTGAATACTTATGACCATGTGATATTTCAGTTTTTCTTTTTTAATAAATCTGCGAAAATGTCAAAAATTCTGTGTTTTTCTGCCAATATGGGGTGCTGTGTGTACATTAATGAGGGGAAAAAAACTTAAATGATTTTAGCATATGGCTGCAATATAACAAAGAGTGAAAAATTTAAGGGGGTCTGAATACTTTTCGTACCCACTGTATGTATAGCTCTGCCTTGGCAAAAGCTCATTACTAGACAGAATCAGATTGTTGTCAGCACAAAAATGCGCCATATGCTTCGTGATAACACAATTCTTGTCTGAAATATCTGCATTCATATCGCCCACAATATATACACTCGTAAGACCCTCACTCTGTATAAAAGAGCTGATAAAAGCCAACTTATTCAAATACTCCTCATTTTGGCTACATTCATACGGGGCACACACATTTAAAATCACCAATTCCTTATTGTCCTGAATCAGGCGTATTGCAATGCACCAGTCCACATCAAGCCTGACCACATTAATCATTGAATCCAACCTCTTAGACCACAGGATAGCCACACCTCCAGGAATTCTTCCTCGCTTGATACCAAGCCCAAGGTCTGTAGTTAATTCCCCGGCACCGAGGAAGCCATCAGCAATGGAGACGAGACCACTTAAGTTCTGCTTAGCAAGGAATCTCTCTTGTAGACACAAAATGTCACATTGTTCCAACAGCTCATTGACAACAGTGCGGCGAGCTTTATCCTCCGCGCTCTGGCCTAAGCGCAGGCCACAACAGTTATATGATATTACATTAAGTACCATATTATTTATTGGCTTGAGCTTGCATCAGCACCGAGAGAAATCCCGGCTCGAGTAGAAAGAGCAGCGCGAGCCTTACCCGGAGTTTTGCGCGGCTCATAATAACACCTCAGAAAGGTACCCTCCGGCCATAGTTCCGGATTATATGTCATCTACTTCGTTACATTCAGCAGAAACTTTAAAAGAGGCATACCTGTAACAATTTTAAGACATGTAACATCATGCCCAAGTTTATCTCTTAAGTAAGCACGTAACGCTTCAGCTTCCAAATCATGTGAAAATTTAGATGCAAAAACACTAACCAGCTTAGTTTTAATCATCTTAATGTTTCCAGCTGATCATGTGCCCACAGCAGATTTGCCATACAGACAATAAAAAGCAAGGAAAAGCATGTAGGCTATATAAAGATGCCTGCTGCTATAGCAGCCATCGTAGCTAATACAGCAGCCCTCACAACCCAAACCACAGCCATCGTAGTTGCTCCACCGGAGCCTTCCACCAGGGCAGCCCCATCCACATCAGGAAGCACCTGACCCTCAGTGCCTTTGAGGCCACACACGTCCCTCCTCTCACCTGCCACGGAATCAGCGCTGTCAACCTCCACCAAGTCCAACAACACACCACCCTGGCCTGCGCACAGTTCCAGCGCACACACCCGCTTGTTCATATCCACCGCAACAGCCCGCAGACCCTCGCTAGCTTCGGCTTGCAGGTGAGCAGCTTGCTTCATAGCAATAATTTCGGCGTGAAGATGCTCCATTTTGCGAAGCAGACCGCATACATCCATGTTGGTGAAAGTCACTGGTGGCAGCTCATCTAAGTAATGAGACACAAATCTAGTGATATCTTCCCCACATTCATTCAATACCTTGAGGTATGCCTCAACGTTGTTAGCGTCTTTATGCACTGCTTTATAAGAAATATTACGCTGAGTAGTGACGCAGACTTCGAAGAGCGTTTTCTTGGAGGCCTCATATCCACTCCGTATCAAAGGTGTTAACTGCCAACAAAACTATCTCATCCTGATTTAAAGTTCTTATTTTTACAGAGAGGAAGTGTAGAAACTCATCCTCAACTATAACTTTGCCATCTATTGTATAAATCTCCGGTTTAAGACGATATTTAGCAAACATGGGAGCTCCAGGTGCACGCGCTGGTGTTGCATCCACCATGTTTTAGACTTGCAGAAGGAAATTGTTCTTCTTTGTTTCTAAAACTGTAGCAGTGTGCATCTTTTTTAGTGGAGCGCCACCTCCTTTCCAGTTTTTGTGATGCCTGCTTTAGGGAGTGGAGCTGCGAGCCACAAGTCAGGAGTCATTAGTACTGACGTGAATAACAACCTTACTGTATTTACGCTTATCCTTAGTCAGCAGCTTCAAACAGGATCCGATGTCACCCGCTCTGGCCCCAGGAATACATCTGACTATGGCCGCCAGTGTCTCTAGCTTCACGTTTCTGACTATGGAGTCACCAATTACCAGAGTATCTTCTCAGTGGGTGTGTCGCTGAGTGGGGAAAAAAATCGATGTCAAACGTGAACAGGCAGGTGATGCACCGTGGGCATTTGTTTGGAGCTATGACTCTTGCAAACCGTCACCCAGCCACCTGGCTCTGCTCGGGAAACTCTGGGGGGTGGCTAGCTTGGGCTAAGCTACATCTAGGAGGCTCCACACCAGCTTCATGGGCCTGGCTAGCTGGGCTGTTCTCCATGGTGCGTAGCCTCACCTGCAATGCTGCTAGCTCCTGGCATTTATTACAAGTATATTATCACTAAAAGAGACAGAGGAATAACTGAACATGCAACATTCCAGGCAAGAGAGAGAGAATGGGGGAAGGCATTGCTCTCAACTAAGCTACTAGCTTAGCTAGCTTCTAGGCTAGCTGACCTAAAGTAGCAAGCTAAATCTGGAAGCTAGCAAAACATTTTGTAACACAGGTGCTTAAGTAGTACAGACAGATGTTGTGACTCAAAAAATGAGCTGATGTTCAGATAAACCTAGACAGTGGGCTTAACTCATAAACAATCTGGTAGCAAGCACAACAGGGTGCAGACACGCTAAACAGGAAATGAGTACACTTACGGTAGGAACAGGAAATATTTAGCCTTTGGCTTCAGTATGAAAGGAAATCATGAAAATGATTTCACAAAATAGTTTTCACATCTAAAACATTTCCACACATTATTTATTCAGCATGAGTAATCTGCTTCTCACCAGTAGTGACTCTCCTTCCTTGCCATAGTAAACTCTGTGTTTTACGTGGCCTCCATGTTCCAGAGCCATACTGTGGTTTCTACTCAAGTGAACAGTGAGGGAGCCAGGCCATGGAGTCAGACTGACTTCAGGGGAACAGGAATCGCCTGTAAGAATAGAAACAATATACTGAGCACTGACAAAATATGCATACATTTCAAACCATTGTACCAACAAACACCTAGTGGTAGATGGGTATAACCAGCATGTGATTGCTGGGGTGGACGAGGAGCATTCCCTCCTCTCTTGTCTATATATATTGTGTGCCTCTGTTCTTATTCATAGAGTGGGGACAAAATAAATTTTTCTAGTGTCCTAATTTTTTTTAATAACAACAAGAATAATAAGTAATTCTATATTCTGGTTACAAGAACTCTCAAAGTGATGCCTGTATGAACACAAGTAGATATATGTTGTTCATGGTCGTGTTTCTTCAATACCACCTCTGTTGTATAAACAGTTCCTCAATCACAAAGCTTGTTTTTAAATGAGCTTATAAATAAATTGATTCTTTGAATTTCATAACTAGTAATGTGCTTCTGCTTAGTATTACTGTATACTTGGTACTGTATGCTTTAAAAGAATACCACAGCATCAGCCACACATTTAGAACTTCCGACACAAACCACAACAGTGCAGACTCATGCCTGAACTAAACTGCTGCCAGTGGAAGCACACCATTACCAGACTGACACACATTAGTTTTTTTTACCATGTTGGCTGCAGGCTTCGACTGGTTTTGAGGTCAACCCACGTCTCTCCGCACGCACACGCAGCGTAACACAGCCATTCTCATTCTCAGCTTTGATATAAGTAATGTTACAGAACTTGAAAGATGTCTGGACACAGGCTGCTACATTTTTCCACACTTTGGTGTCAAGGCTGAAAAGAAGAAATGGACAGAACAAGAGATTAACATGAATCCAGAATCTCTGATAATATCATTACCTTTAAGTAAAGTATGAAATGCATTAGGGTTATAATTAACAATTAGCTTCATTATTCATAAATCTGCAAATTAATCTCGCAATTAGGTTTGCATATAATATGTCAGAAAATTGTGAAAAATGCCCATTGTAACTTTCCACAGCACAGATGTCTTTATATGTCTTGTCATGTTTGTGCAACAATCCAAAAGCTTCACTTTACTCTTACAGATGACAGATAAAAGGACCAAGCAGTTGAAGCATCACATTTTGCTTAAAAAAGCCAGAAACAATTAAGTTAGCAAAGCAGTTTTTCTATTGACTATTTAATTAAAGCTGCATTAACTAAAATTTTGCACAAATTCAGATAAATCGAGTAAAAAAAAAATCATCTAGAAGTGTTTTCTTCCTGCTGTATTAAACCCCACACTACTGCTTTCTTCAGGCCCTGGGTTTATTTCTACCTCTCTAGTAAGTACTGTTAAAATCTGCACCACACTTCTTCCACACCCCTGCTGACCCGAGGTTATTATAAGATGCACTTTTCAAACCAGTATGGCCATGAAGGCTCCCTGTGCAGGTACAACCCAGGATGGGAGTGGACCTGTTTGACCCTAAGAGGCCGTGTTCTGTAGCACAGGAAGACTGCGACAAAGAACGAGGCAAAACCAGGGTTAACAATGGTTTGGCACATCAGAGATGGAGAGCACTAAAAGCACCCAAAGGACTAAAATTTGACATAGATGTGGTTTTCTTCCTGCTAGATGTCCAAATACCATAGCTGGTAGCACGCTAGTATTAACATTTCAACTTAATTATTCTGGTTGTAATTTGGAGCCATTCCAACTGACTGCAATGTTAGCGTTTTGTTGTCCAATTACCAGCAATCAGCACATTTTCTTGGCTTAGCAAATGAAGTAATTTTGCTAATTTTTGTTCACTTTTATTCCAGTTTATATCAAACATAACACTCAGTCCATGTAGCATTTTAGTGAGAAGTTGTTCCATCAATACAGCTAGAAAAGTGGGGAGTTTGTTCAACCGTCAAAGTGTAACATGAAATGGTTGTGTGTCAAGTATGCACTAACACAATGAGACAGTGGCCAGAACATTAGTACTGTATAGGGTTGCAAAGGGGCAGAAAATCTCTGGTCAATTTCTGGAAACTTTCCATGAGAAAAAGTTTGGGAATTTTGGAAATATTACAAGTTGGAAACCTTCCATGGGAATTAATACATTAATTAATTAATTTGGGGTCATTTATACAAACTCGTATATAAATATAAAACGCTGTTTGGTTATAAGCAGACATTCATGCACATTTTTAAAAAATTACATTTTTGACTTGACAAATAAATATTTGCGATTAGAAGTTTAATGTCACTGAACAACAAAAAAGCAAGAATTTTTAAAAAAATGTACAGTAACATTCCTGGACATGCAGTAACCTCAGGCCCTGTATTTTTCTCCACATCCTCTGATGCAGCAGGAGGGAAAATATATCCACAAAATTGGGCGCAGATGAAAAATTCCGCTCTTACAGTAATGTCTTTTTTTTTTTAATAAGGTTTATTGGAAATACACATAACAAATAGGGCAATGTAACATTTTGCCAATATGGTGGGGGCACCAGTGGATGTCAGGCAAGCTCACATGAACATACAACAGCCTGGATTTATGCCCATTCAAGGAAATCCTTAAACTATCATAATACTTTATTTTGGTAGAAAATGTATAAACCACGCTGCTTCTGCATAGAAATATTAGAGCATACATACACCTCATTAATTGAGCTTTAGATCACATCTGAGATGATAATTCATTGTTGTAACATTGTAGATAAGTCAAAAATAAAAAAGGAAAAGTGCCAAGGGCTCTTTAAACAACTGAAAGGCAACACTACCAAATACTAACTGAATGTATATAAACCTCTGACCCAGGGGGAATGTGATGAAAGAAATTAATATTTTTCTCTACTATTACTGTGACATTTCAAATTCCTAAAATAAAGTAGTGATCCCAACTTACCTAAGACAGAAAACGTGTATGGATTCAATACAAGGAGTTGTGAAAAACTAAGACTAAAGGTATTTGTCTATGTATGCAAATCATTGAAATGTAAACCTCTTTATTTGACACAGTTGCTGCAATGCCACTGAAAACCACAGGCTATATATTCTATTGTTAGGTATTTTTAGTCAGATAGATATTGGATAGATACTTTATGTATTAGAAATGTTTAGTGGAGAGAGGATGTCTAGTTAGACTGTTAAATGCTTAGTCATGCTTATGAGTTTCTACAGGGTACATCTGGTCAAGGATAACTAGAGAGAAGAGTTGATGACTGTCAGCAGACAGGGTGTTTAATATTATTATTATGATGTGTATAACTGTAGCCTTAGCCATAATAGGTTCTTATGTTTAAGCCACGACATGTTACTAGAGGTCGTGAGAATGTTTTTAGCTACACACCACTTAACCAACAGACACACACAGGGTCTTTCATCTTACATCTGCCTGCGAGCATGTTGGAGGTGCAAGATACCTGAGCGTGTAATGTTAATTTTACCTGTGATCCTTTGAATAAATCAGCACTGTTTTGTAGTTACTTGGACTGCCTCGTCTCTCAGAGTCAGTATGGTAAAAAGTACGGGGCACAACACTATATACATTAGTTCTGGAGCCAGTTATTGCTGCCACGCTACCTGACTGCCACAACTATGTCCAGCTGTCATGACCACGTATAACGTACTTTCAGAGACAGGACAGGAGGGGTAAAGAGGAGCAGAGGGAGAAGAGCAGGGGTTACTGCTTCAGTTTGTTTTGACTCATTTCTCCCTTAATGGTTGACAATTGGAGGGAGAAGTTAATTAATGCAACTTTAACTTATAGCTGCAGTTCTAAAACACATTTCTTACAATTAATTGAAATGCAGTGTTTACTAGTCAAAACTCCGTCTGTAAGCTGTGTCAACAAAAACATGTTTACAGCTATTTAATCACAAGAAAAATTATTTCATGCTTAATTTTAAGGTCAGGTTCATCATGTTAGCATGTGGATTCATATAACAATACATAACCATCAGATCACACCTGCGGTACTGAACGCTGTAGGTGACACCTCCCTCCTGGGTGGCATTAGTCCATGTCAGCAGCCCCTTCTCAACAAGGATGTTCTGTGGTGGTGCCAGCAGCCATTCAGATAGAACTGGAACTGATGGGAACAGACAGACCAGCAAATGAAAAGTCTGTTTGACACTTTATGCACAAGTTCTAGCAAAATTCTGCTTTTTTTTTCCATCAGCACTATTGTATGGTGGCAGGAACAATGTTCAACATTAACCATGGCCCGATGGCCTGTGGCCAGGAAAAAGTTACCTGTGGCCATCACAGGTGAACGTGCACAGCTCCTGTTGGCGGTCTTGACGCAAGTGGACAGCGCTTCATGAAGCCTCTTGGATGAGAGGTGAAATATGGAGATAAAATACTATCAAAAATGTTACAAATGCGTGTTTAACGTTTTGTCTGTAACAAGCGATTTGTGTGTGTGTGTGTCATGAGGATCACAAATGCGTGCTGCGCAATCTGCACGTATAAAGCCATTTGTGTGTGTGTGTGTCATGAGGATCACAAATGCGTGCTGTACAAACTGCACATAAATCACATTTTACAAATGCTTAAAATCGATTTTTTTGTGTGCAGTTCTTTAGAAAGTACGTACACATTGTTACCTACGCATGCGTGGTTCATCTAACACACACGAATCACCTTCCGCGCACACATGGATTTTTGAGAGTGTTTTTCCGCACTCTCAAAAGTCCACAATCCACAAATGCATGGTGCGTTTAAGGACACATGGAAAACTCAGACATCTGAGTTTCCAAACCTGTTTCCCAAACAAAAGTATTTACACAATGCTATTCCAAATGGACATTACATAAAATAAACAAACATATCTAATACATAACACGTTTTAACAGAGAACATTCCAGTTGCCTGCAGTTTGTGGTGCATGTTCTAAATTTTTATATATTAAATATATGCTCCACGGTTTGTCGTGCTATGCTAGATAAGTGGATGGTTCGATATGATGCCACTAGGTTAATCGCAGCACACATGTCAGGACAAAGTCGGCCTGGCTCATCTTCTCCCGTGCGTATAAAATTAATGATCATTC